CGGGGCTCACCATTGCTGGTCCCTCCCAACAGCTGCTCGCTGGGGCTGGAGGGAGTTGTCTGTCCAGGGACCTCTTGGCTGGTTCCCAGCTGCAGCTTCCTCATGTGTCTCACCACCGCCGTGGCATTAAAAGCTTGCTGCCGAGCCCACAGTGTCTTGTCACCTGGCACTGGGTGCCTGGGGGGGTGCACTGCACTCCCCAACACCTCCCAGTACCCCATGCTCACCTTCCACTTGCTCTTTGCAAAATTCTTCTTGATCTGCTCGCTCACTGACTGGTGGATGTTCTTGTCCAGGGCTGTGTCCCCGGCAATCCTGGAGCAAGACAGGTCAGCAGGGGCTCCTCCATGGCTGCTGGGGGGTGAGCCAGAGAGGGGGGCAGACTGTGGCAGATCCTCCCCTTACCAAGGATGCTGCAGGGCTTGCTCACAAGTGAAGCGCTTGCTGGGGTCCTTCTCCATCAGGTGCTGGATGAAGTCCTTGGCTGGGACAGGGCATGGAGCAGCTGTGAGCACCTGCACCCACTGCCACACCCCTGGCTACCAAAACACCAAACCAGGTTCCCAGCCCCCACCAGCCTGGTGGTGCCAGCTCACCTGAGTCTGAGATATCATCCCAGTAGGGCGAGTCAAACTCGTACTCAGCCCGCAGGATCTGCTCGAAGAGCTTGGCATCATTTTCGTCATAGAAAGGGGGGTAACCACAGAGTCTAGGGGGCAGCAGGAAGGGGGACGCTAGACCTGGACAGCCCTGGAGGGCCAGACCTCCACAGAGGGGAGGGGGGTGGGAGGTGGCATACATACAGGATGTAGGCAATGACTCCGATGGACCAGCAATCCACTGCCTTGCTGTAGGGCTTCTGTGCCAGCACCTCAGGGGCTGGGGAGGATGGCAGGGGTGAGGGGGAACCCCAGACTGTGGGAGGACCCCAACCCCACACGTGGGGTGGTGGCAGCCCTTGGCAGGCCCTCCCCCACATAGCCAGGGGGGCCGCAGGCCGTGGACATGACGCTGCCGCAGCCCTCGATCTTCGACAGCCCGAAGTCACTGATCATGATCTTGGAGTCCTCGTCCATGCTGTAATAGAGCAGGTTCTCGGGCTGCGGGGAGGGGGGGTCAGGAGGGCTGACACTGGGGTCCCCTCCCAACACCACCATGAGGGTGCTGCATGTGTCCCCCCCCAGCTGCTCACCTTCAGGTCGCGGTGGACAATGCCCATGTCATGCAGGTACTTGACAGCATCAAGGATCTGCCGGATCAGGGCACTGGCGTCCCGCTCCGTGTAGAAACCCTTCTCCACGATGCGGTCGAAGAGCTCCCCACCCGAGACCCTGCAGGGACAGGCAGCAACTGTTAGCCAGACCCCTCTGGATCCCTGCAACATCACTCACAGCTGCATGATGAGGTAGAGGTGGGTGCCACTCTCATAGATGTCATCCAAGGCCACAATATTGGGGTGCTTGATCCTGTGGGAGGAGGAGCAGAGGGTGAGGGGGCTCCCAGCTGCCCCCACCCTGGCCCCCACAGGACGGAACAGCCAGGCTCTGCGCCACGGGGCATCATGCGCCACCAGCTATTTTGGGCACTGGCACTAACACGCGGCGATGGGTGCAGGCAGTGGGGAGATGTGCCAGGTGTGGGGGGTGGCGCAGAGAGAGACCCCCACCCTGGCACTGGGACAGCCCCTACTTGTGAAGGACAGCGATCTCATTCTCGATGCTGGTCTCCTTCCCCTCCAGGGCCTTCTTGGTGATGCACTTGATGGCCACCAGCTTCCGCGTCGCCTTCTCCTCCGCCAGGACCACCTCGGAGAAGGCCCCCCTGGGGGGGTGAGGGGTGAGCGGGGGCAGGAGAGCTGCCGTCCAGAGCTGCCAGTGCTGCCATGCCACGATTGTCATGGCAACGGGCAGAAGGTCCAGTTATTTATAGGAGAAAAGTGCCTGCTGGGATGGCAGGATACGGACCCTGCCAGCAACCGAGTGCCTGGCACCTCTTGGCCCTCTCGGCGTGGCTGTACCACCCCTGTATCGGGCAGGATAAGACATCGGTGCAGCCAGGGATGAGCCATGCCAGGGCTGAGTCCCCATGTGGGTTTCAGCAGACCTGTGCTGTGCCATCCCACAGCACCCAGGGCCAAAGGTTGAGGTGCCTGTTGGGAGCCAGGCAGAGCCATCGGCAGTGCCCAGGTGGGGAAGTGACAAGCAGCGTGTTCACGCCGTGCCGCACACGCCGTGCCGCACTGGGCCCTAAGCCTTGCCGTAATTAACCTCCTAATCCAGCCTAAGAGCCTTACGGTGCTGCAGGCACCACTGGGACCCCTCTGCCAGCCGGGGACCACTGTCAGGCACCCTCAGCATGGCACAGCCAGTGCCAGAGGGAGGTGGCACCTGTGCCCTGCACTGTGTACCCACACGTGCCAGCCCAACCCTTGGCCAGGACTTGAGCTGATTCCACGTGGCATGTTGGGCAAAGTCACAGGGGCTCGACCTGTCACCACAAGTGCCTCTGGTGTGTCCCCCCTGCTTGCAACTCACGTGCCCAGGACCTCTCGGAAGTTGTAGATCCGCCGAATATCCTCGGTCCTCTTCTTCCAGCTGGGCCCATCCTGCCCCAGCGGCATGGTGCCCCGTGGGGGGCCACCCACTCCCACCTGTGACGTGAGCGGGGGACAGGGTGTCAGTGCGCTGGGGTGACGTGGGGACACGGGGGTGACAGGGTGCCAAGGGTTGTCACCGTGGGGTGATGGGAATGAGCTGTGCCCACGCAGGAGTTTTGGTGTGGGATGCCCCAGGGGGGGATATGTGATGGGACCCTCCCGCTGCCTGCCAT